GATTAGGGTGTGCCCAGGCACACCCTGTGCGCACGCCTATGCTATACATAGTGAAAGTTGTAAATATACTGAACAAAATTATAAGCGCAACACTTTTGTTTTTTCCCCCATTTTTCATGAGCTGAACTCAAAATCTAGATCTTTGATCTCAAGATGAAAAACTTTTTCTATGTACACAAAAGGCCTATTTCTCTCAAATATTGTTCACAAATCTGTCTAAATCTGTGTTAGTGAGCACTTCTCCTTTAATGAGTTAATCCATCCATCTCACAGGCGTGGCATATCAAGATGCAGATTAGGCAGCATGATTATTGCACAGGTGTGCTTTAGGCTGGCCACAATAAATGGGCACTCTAAAATGTTCAGTTTTACTGTATTGGGGGAGTGTGGGGGGGAGTCCGAAAACCAATCAGTATCTGGTGTGACCACCGTTTGCCTCACACAGTGCTACACATCTCCTTCGCATAATTGACCAAATTGTTGATTGTGGCCTGTGGAAAGTTGGTCCACGCCACTTCAATGGATGTGCGAAGTTGCTGGATATTGGCAGGACCTGGAACACGCTGTTGTATATGTCGATCCAGAGCATCCCAAACATGCTCAATGGGTGACATGTCCCGTGAGTATGCTGGTCATGCAAGAACTGGGATGTTTACAACTTCCAGGAATTGTGTACAGATCCTTGCAACATGGGACCGTGCATTATCATGCTGCAACATGAAGTGATGGTCATGGATGAATGGCACAACAATGGGCCTCAGGATCCCGTCACAGTATCTCTGTGCATTTAAAAGGCCATCAATAAAATGCACCTGTGTTTGTTTTCCATAACATACGCCTGCCCATACTATAACCCCATCACCACCATGGGTCACTCGATTCACAACGTTGACATCAGCAAACCACTCACCCACACGATGCCATACACGCTGTCTACCATCTGCCCTGTACAGTGAAAACCGGGATTCATCAGTGAAGAGAACACCTCTCCAAAGTGCCAGGCGCCATTAAATGTGAGAATTTGCGCATTCAAGTCGGTTACGATGGCAAGCTGCAGTCAGGTCGAGACCCAGATGAGGACAACGAGCATGCAGATGAGCTTCCCTGAGACAGTTCCTGCAGTTTATACAGAAATTCTTTGGTTATGCAAACCGATTGTTGCAGCAGCTGTCTGGATGGCTCGTCTCAGACGATCTTAGAGGTGAAGATACTGAATGTGGAGGTCCTGGGCTGGTGTGGTTACATGTGGTCTGTAGTTGTGAGGCCTGTTGGATGTACTGCCAATTTCTCTGAAACACGTTTGGAGACGGTTTATGGTAGAGAAATGAGCATTCAATTCACAGGCAACACCTCTGGTGGAGATTCCTGCAGTCAACATGCCAATTGCATGCTCCCTCAAAACTTGCAACATCTGTGGCACTGTGCTGTGTGATAAGACTGCACATTTTAGAGTGGCCTTTTATTGTGGTCAGCCTAAGGCACATCTTTGCTATAATCATGCTGTCTAATCAGCATCTTGATATGCCACACTTGTTAGGTGGATGGATTATCTCGGCAAAGGAGAAGTGTTCACTAACACAAATTTGAGAGTGGCAGTGATTATCTCCCAGTTACAGCAATCTAATTTTTTTAATTTGATTTTTTCAATTTGACTTTTTCTTTTTGCTACCTTTACTCTTTTTATTCATTTTTCAGCCTAGGGTGTGGACTGATATACTGGGATTTGAAGAGTCACTTGCTGAGACCATTATCAAAACCCTCCAACTTTATCAGAAAGGAAGCAATTCCTTTTCTGGTGATTCTTTATTTTACTACTTAAATGGAGTCTATTTGAAAATACAAAGTATGCAGTTCTCAAAGCTGGCCACTTGAGAGCAGTAGATACCATGAAATGGTGCAGATGGATATCTGTGCTTTAAACAAGAAGACAGTTCTGATCAAGTATAATGGTCTGACATGTAGGTTACTTGTTTTGCTCTGGGCGACCTTGTGAAACAGATAATGTGGTTTACATGTTGAAGAATTCATGTGGATTGGCGGATGATGGTGAGACATTCTGCAAATTTCATACATGTCAGGTGGATGTATGCACTAGACTTGTGCAATTCGTTTCATTCTGAATGTAAATTCGGACGAATTTCGGCAATTCAGACGCTTCCGAATGTCCAAGTTTCAAAAGTGCCAAACCGCTTCGAATTGCCGAATTGCTAGAGTCTCGAATTTTGGAAGTGGTGAACTGAACCGAATTGCTGAATTTCCGAAGTGCTTCGGATTTCTGAAAAGTGGCAAAACAAGAGAGGGAGGGAAAATTACGGGAATGATGACCCTAGATGTGTAAGTGGTTGTGGTGGTTAGGGGTAGGGTTAGAGGTTGGGGTAAGGTCAAGGAATTGCCAAAGTCCCGAATTGCAGAAGTCCCGAATTTCGGAAGTGCCAAAACGAAGTCTTGAATTATGGAAGTGCCGAACCAAACTGAATTTTTTGCCCATGCACATCCCTAGTATGCACAGAATTCAAAAGCACTGTATACCTAATCCCCCAAAAATGTGATAAAAAAAAAAGAAACAGCAGTGATGACTTTATTAACTGACATTGCAGGCATAAAACAACTAAAATAAACATATATTGGGATTTCATAACTTCATGTGTTACTCTGTATATATTTGTATATTCTTGCTTATATTATTTGTGGTATAAAGGGTATTAAGAATTACTGAGTTTAGGATTAGAGTGAGGTTACATTTAGTATTTGGGTACAGGGGTGTTTAGGATTATTGATTTTTAGGTTAGAACTGGGTTCAATTTAGTATTGGTGTATGTTTACATTTTATGAGTAGTTAAAGGGACACTATAGTCACCTGAACAACTTTAGCTTAATGAAGCAGTTTTGGTGTATAGAACATGCCCCTGGAGCCTCACTGCTCAATCCTCTGCCATTTAGGAGTTAAATCCTTTTGTTTATGAACCCTAGTAACACCTCCCTGCATGTAACTTGCACAGCCTTCCATAAACACTTCCTGTAAAGAGAGCCCTACTTAGGCTTTCTTTACTGCAAGTTCTGTTTAATTGTAGATTATGCTAACGTAGTGTACCTATAATCTTAATTTTAATAATGACAGGAGGCGAGTATTTTGCATAACTTTCTTTACTTTATGCCTCCAGCAGCACAAGTCAATCAATAAACTTTAAACCAATCAGTAACAGGCATCACATTCATATATAAAGCCCTGACAGTCACATGACTTCCTCTTTCTTTGATGCGAAAAACAGTCTATTATAACGTCAGGGAATTCAAATAACAGTCCTGAGTAACGTGTAGAACATAACTTGAAACCTTCCAGCTTTATCTTGTCGAATCCATCTATGATGATTACGCTGAAAAGAACAGAAATACGTGAAAGGTGATGGAAACCAACTGTTGTCCACATTAAATCCAGTACTATATGTGTCTATATTTATATTAAGTTAATATACTGAAACATTAAACAAACCATAGTATACCTAATAATCAACACGGATCTAACACATATCAACCAAATAAGCATCCCATAAATATACTGAATTACCAAACCTTATAATTTACACTGAGAAAATGACAAACCAAAATATAAAAAATTTCCAGAGTATAGGGAGGGAAACAGGGAGGGAAAATACTCGCCTCCTGTCATTATTAAAATTAGATTATAGGTACACTACGTTAGCATAATCTACAATTTTATCACATGACAGGAGGCTTCATATTTTGCATTTTTAAAGCTGTGGTATGAGCGTGAAGGATGCGTGTGTGGTTGACGAAAATAAATATACGGAAGTAGTCTATCCATGTCCAATTCGTCGCTGAAAATATAGAGGCCCCCTCGTGAAGGCCTGAGAAGCAGCTGCGCCTCTTACCGAATGAGTACCCAAACACGTCTCCACCCTCGCTAGCGATAACAACCAATGAACCCATCTAGACAGAGTGTTCATGGTAACTGGCTTGTACGGTTGGTATAAGACCAGCAGATGTCCTGAATGTGACATTCTAAGTGTTGTCGTGATCTCCATGTAACAAAGTACCCTTTAACTGCACAAAGGCTGGGAAACCGTCGGTAACAGGGAACGATACGGACACGGATAAGATATAGTTCTACGAGACACTGTAGAAATTATTCTTTCCGGTGATACCGAAAAGACCGTCTACGTCGAACTCCAGTACATCTGATACCCGACGAAAAGACCTAAAAGTAACGTGACTCTGGCTAATGGCTGACTGAGGGATAGGACCGTGATATCTGACTAGCTCCAAAAGAACCAAATCAAAGTCCCACACCAGTGATACTTTGACGCATGGTTCTGGACGGTTTGATACCCCACAGAAAATGGCATATCAAAGGCTCTTGATTGACCGGAGTGTCGTGAATCGTGCTATGCATCGTCGAAATTGCGGAACGTAGCCCGTTAATGGAACGTTCCGATCGGCCTGTAGTGAAAAAGTATGATAAAGATCCAGCATCGTGGAGATAGGGGTAATAAAGGGATCGCAGTCCCTTCCCATACACCAGCGAACTCAAGGTGTTCCATGCGGATAAGTTATTTCGGGGGAATACCTGGCGTCCATGTAGTCCATAGTAGGTCTCTAGTTGGTTGCGATAGTCCCTTGACATACCAGTCTCCCCTGGAAGACACCAATCTACCAACTCCAGATGCTCCTGCATTCTCAATGGATGATGTTCTCCTTTTGGATCCGCCCGAAGGCAAGTTAAAACGGAAGGAGCAGAGGATGATCCTGATTAAGGACAACCCTTCTGGGTGTCACGCTTGCCTCCTTTACCGCAGTAATGAGTACTATCGAAGTCTTCGCTATTCTGATCCCAATTTCATAGGTGTGTCCGTATCTCAGGCAGTGAGCTTTCAGCCACTGTCTGGCCTGGTAGTGAAGCAGTCCTGGGAAATAGTCAAAGGGTTATGGTGCCTTTCCGCCGTACCCGTCGAATTTCCTTACGAATCGTCGCTATCAATGATGTGGGAAGGTGTAATCCGCCCAAGGTGGAATCTATTCTGAAATAGAGGAACTGAATCACTCGGAACTGGGATCGAACCAACTCCTCTCTGTTCACTATGAATCCCAACAATTCCCGAAACTGTAAACATAAATCTCGTTTGTAAACGTAGTCATGAATTGGATTTGCAAAAGGTAAGTCGTCTAGGTATGTGACAGCAGATACTCTTTGCTTTTCAGTGCGCAGTGACCGACTTCAGAAACTTCATGAGGCACCATGTGAACCTATAGGTAAGTGCCCTTCAAGTCCAACCTTGTAGATCCCCTAAGAGATGGATACCTTCCTTCTTGAGTTGTCGGTACGCCCCAAAACCATTGGGTTGGCATAGGTTGATGACTGGGTGATAGTCTCCTATCTTCTTCCTTACTACCAAACCGTTGCTGAGATAAATGGTTCTCCAAACGATAGTCCGTCTGCCTGAGGTCCTCGCTCTTTCGTCCCTAACTTCATGGAGGGCAGAAGAGGTAAAAGTGACAAGACACGCCTAGCAAGAAAGGTTTTTTCTTTGGCACACTGGACACTCCTGTTTTGACTCACGCACCATCCGACAACCAGGGTCATCCGAATGGGGTTAACTGGAGCACCGGGCCCACTTCTGGCTTAGGAGGCCTATGGGAAAAGAAATCCGAGACCGGCTCAGGATGGAATGCCCACGCCCTCTATGTCCGAACAAGATAGTCCTCACTATGAAATCCATCTTTAATCGGGCTGCTTTGCGGTGTTCTGTGCACCTGTCTGCCTTGCGTTCCCCAACTTACATATTGCCCTTTGCACCCATTCCCTCACATCGTGAGCTTCTAGAGGTGAGTCTTGTGTGGGGTCAGGTCCGCAAAGTATAGAATTTTTTCCCGGGCTGATCATATCCAGTATTTAACTCATTTTGAGTCCTCCTCCTACACACTGATCGGGACATACATATCACCACGAGCTCCATAGTGAGGACTATCTTGTTCGGACATAGAGGGCGTGGGCATTCCATCCTGAGCCGGTCTCGGATTTCTTTTCCCATAGGCCTCCTAAGCCAGAAGTGGGCCCGGTGCTCCAGTTAACCCCATTCGGATGACCCTGGTTGTCGGATGGTGCGTGAGTCAAAACAGGAGTGTCCAGTGTGCCAAAGAAAAAACCTTTCTTGCTAGGCGTGTCTTGTCACTTTTACCTCTTCTGCCCTCCATTCTTTCATGATCTCCAGAGAAGGGGGGGGGAGGATGAAGTCCTCGTCCCCTGATGATGGGTGTCCGACCTAACGTCGGTATCTCAATCTTCCATTGGTGTTGCTGCCGTTGCACCCGCTCTGTCGGATGGGTTGTTAGCCAGCATACTGGAGAGGACTTCTTCCCCCGGAGCTGTCATGGCAGCCTTAATCCTCGCCTGAAAATCGGTCGGGGATATTGAGGTAAGTCCGACATGTTAGTTCACACCCTTTCGGTCCGTGGGAGACAGGATCGTACAACAGTACACTTATTGCCACTCAGTAGGCCTCCGCGTATAACTGGGGGTCACCCAGAATTTTGATCAATCAGTATCATTTTCGCAGGATCCGGGGAGTGGTCTGAGAATGAGGACACCCTCAGTAAGACCGGGATGAGCGGTCTGCAATGTCGGGACGTAGCCCGAGTCTGGGAGACGTGAAAGCCTCAATATATATAGTCCACGGGGTTCATCCTTATATGGTCTAGAATTGTGGAGTTTTGGCAGCACTGTGAGTTCTCCTTCTCGGTTAAGGGAAGGGCGTACGGAACCCCAGTTGAAGCATAGAGGTGCCAGAATACATGCATCTAGTGCGCCCTGGTCTGTGCATACAATGACAGAGCGTACTCTGAAGGTAGAAGCCCTAGAAAGGGTGCGGGGGGTCACCCCTTTGTACCTATGCCACTAGCACCGGAGTAAGACTCGCTTGGGGTTCACCCAGCATAGGGGGGTCACCCCTGTATGAATGTCTCTTATGGCATGTTGGGACACTCTTTCGGTCTATGGGGTACCGAACAGGTGTCAGGTACGGTAGTACACTTATTGCCACTTAGTGGGCCTCCACGTACAACTGGGGGTCACCCAGAATTGTTTCAATCAGTACCACTTAGAGATTTCCTGGGAGTGGTCTGAGGAGGGGGTCACCCTCAATAAGACCGGGATGAGCGGTCAGTAATGTCGGGACGTAGCCCGTGTATGGGGAGGTATGGTAGCCTCCAAATTATCCAAGGGGTCACCCTTATAGGATATAGTACTGTGGAGAATTGGCAGCACCGTGAGCTCTCCTTCCTGGCTCTGTCGATATACATGTATTCAGTGTGACCCGGTCTGTGCATACAGTAACAGATCGTACTCCGTGGAATATGAGCCCGCCCTAGGGCGTGGGGGTTCCCCCCAGTATATGTATGTCACTAGTACCGGAATAATATTCGCTTGGGGTTCACCCAGCGTAGGGGGATCACCCCAGTATATGTATGTCACTAGGACAGGAACCAGATTCGCTTGGGGGTCACCCAGCGTAAGGGGGGTCACCCCTGTACCACAATGTCACTTTGGAGAGGTGTCTGCCACGCTTGGGGGTCACCCAGCGTAAGGGGGATCACCCCTGTTAATCACTCCGTTATGTGCCTCCACTACTATGTCCTGGGAGGTGTATCCCTGTGGGGAAGGAGTGTATCCAATGGTTGTGAGGTCCAGTGGGAGTAGGGAGCGGAGTAAGATATCAGCTCTATTTAATTTCCCTGCCAGTAGATAGAGTAATGCATCCACTATATACCCACAGCAGGGGACAGTCCATTCATAATCCTCCAGATGTACAATAAAACTGTTATTCAACATGTCAATTGTATAGAACAGAATAGAGCAAACTGTCAGCAGATGCACACAGCAGGGATCAGTCCTACATATTCATGCAGAGTTACATATAAAACTTATTTCACATGCCAATGAAATATGCCAGTATAGATCTCAGCAGTGAACAGTCCATTCATAATCTTCCAGGAAAGGTACATATAAAACCTTTATTCCACATGCCCATGAACAGTATTGAGCTCAAAGGTACTTGTAAAACTTTTATTTCACAGGAAAAATATATGAAACAGTACAGAACTAGCCGCCAGTTCGTGGGAATCACGAACTGGCCAAACGACATGGCCGACGTGAATCTCGCGAGTGCCGCGAGATTCAAGATGGCCGCCGTTCGCGCGCAAAAGTGCCGTGCGGCCCACGATCGAGGATACGATCGCGGTCTGCCGGCATGGAAAAGAGTCCCCCGACACCCCAACCCCCAGAGACCTGCCCTGAAGTCCCAGCACCAATGAATAAAAAGCGTGCTTCGCGGTAAAACGCCGCGATCCATGCGAGACCAGAGTAAAGCATAGGAAAGAAAAGGTGCCAGCAACAGAAAACAGGCTAATAAAGCAGAAAATACAGGGTTAATTCAGGGGAAGGGTAACAGGGGGAGAATATCACACTATACAAATCCAAACGGAAGGCAAGTGCAAAATAATGAAAAACGTTTAGGCCAAAATTGCAGGACAAGCTAATAAAGTTTAACAAAAGTGCCCATGCATATCCAGAAACAGTTTGGAGCAAAAACTGAATGTCTAGCATTAAAAATCTAACTAAAGTGACCATAGCAATATTAATAAAAACAGTTGGAGCAAACTGAAAGTCAATTAATAAAGTTTAATTAAAGTGGTATCCAGAAAAAACTGTTAGGATTAAAACTGAATGTCTAGCATAAGGTGTCTAACTACAGTGACCATAGCAATATTAATAAAAACAGTTTGGAACAAACTGAAAGTTAAGCAATAAATGATTAACTAATGACAATTGCAATATTCAGTAAAACAGTTTGGAGCAAAATACTCTGACCTGTGCCCTGGCTGGTAAGCAGCAAAGAAAGAGGAAGTCATGTGACTGTCAGGGCTTTATATATGAATGTGATGCCTGTTACTGATTGGTTTAAAGTTTATTGATTGACTTGTGCTGCTGGAGGCATAAAGTAAAGAAAGTTATGCAAAATATGAAGCCTCCTGTCATGTGATAAAATTAAGATTTTCCCCCCTGCTATGTTAATAGCTTGCTAGACCCTGCAAGAGTCTCCTGTATGTGATTAATGTTCAATTTAAGGTAAATTACCGGTACATCTGTTTGAAAGTGAAACCAGTTTTTTTTTCATGCAGGCTCTGTCAATCATAGCCAGGGGAGGTGTGGCTAGGGCTACATAAACAGAAACAAAGTGATTTAACTCCTAAATGACAGTGAATTGAGCAGTGAAATTGCAGGGGAATGATCTATACAATAAAACTGCTTTATTTAGCTTAAGTAATTTATGTGACTATAGTGTTCCTTTAAACCTAGGTTCAAAATAAAGTGCTTTTTTATATTTAGGCTTTAAGTGGTTAACTTTTGGACTAAAGAAAGGGTTAGTTTATTTTTGGTAGGGGTTACATTTAGGGTTAAGGGAAGAGGGGTATTTAGGGCATGTGGCGTTTAAAGGGCTATTTGAATATACTCACCATCCTATGTCTTCTAGACATGTGCAATTCGCTTCGTTCCGAATGGCAATTCGAATGAATTTCGGGCAATTCGGACATTCGGATACATCCGAATAGCTGAATTGCCGAATTTCCGAAGCACAGTATTGCCCATGCACTAATATACCCAGTGGAAGAATGAAGAATGTTACACTGTTACACTGTTTACAAGTTTAAATAAAAAGTATACAAACATAGCCAGGATTCAGCTGTAAGCATTTGCAACACTTACAACAATCAAGTAACACACATTCATATAAAATGTAAGTTACTTAGCCAGTCAATGGAATGACAGGAATGAATAAGTAGATAACACCCTAATTCCCACGGTATTAGGGAGTTATCAACTAAAAGGCCTGTGGCTGCTCACTGTTAAAAAACAAAAAGAAACAACCCCTCCCCCAAAAAACCCAAAACCAAAATAAAAAAACACGTTTCCCATCCCCTGGCCCCACCCCTGAATGGCAGGTGGGGGCCCTAAAGAAGAATAAGGGGGGGGGGACCTATTTTCCTACCCCCCACCTCTGAGCAGTGGGTGGGGGCCATAAATACCAACGCCCTTATTGATATTTAGGGCCCCCACCCGCCACTCAGGGGTGGGGGTCGGAGGACAATAGGTCCCCCCCTTATTCTAATTTAGGGCCCCCACCCACCACTCAAGGGTGGGGGCCAGGAGGAGGACAATAGGTCCCCCCCTTATTGATATTTAGGGCCCCCACCCGCCGCTTATGGGTGGGGGCCGGCGGGACGACAATAGGTTCCCCCCATTACTTTACTGCCCCCACCCGCCGCTCAGGGGTGGGGGCAAAATGTTTTTTTGTTTGTTCTTTGTTTTTTAGCGAGTAGGGG